CTAGAGGAAGGGAAGGGAAAGACTTTTGGCTTCAAGCTATAGCAAAAACTGATCTGAGAAAAGGAACGATGTAGGGTCCCTGTGCCAGAGCCATGGATAGAGATTTTGAACAGAGCCCCGGAGCTCCCAAGCTCCAGCCCCACTGCCTGGCTCATCTTTAATATACAGCAGCCAGTTCTGCATAAAGCAGATGATTAGGTAATAAAGTATCATCATAAAATCACCCTAGGATACCTCATTTTTAAATTTCAGCTGAACAAGGAGTGTGGTTGTTCAGGCCCAGAAAAACCTTTTCTGAGAGTTTTTCCAGTCCGGGCTTAGCCAGAGTTCTTTCCCAAATCTAGCTGTTTTCCTTTAATGTAAACTTAGAATTAATAACAGAGATAAAAACACCTGCTGGATACTTGTCTAGACCTGTAAAAAAGTGTTACTTTCTCTGCACCAATCAACTTTATTCTGTCTTTGGAGTTGCGAGAAACTCTACTTAAGCCGTGTGTTTTAGAATAAAGTTGTCTCTTTCCTATCATGAAAAATAACCATATAACTGTGTGTCTTATTTCTGCCACTTCCAAAGGGTTAAGTCCTTAACCAATGGCTACAAAGGAGAATTAGGCAGATGTGAGTTGAGTTAAGGACCCGAGTCCAGTGGAGACTTAAATCCTGCAAGACAAATGCTGAATGCACACTGCCTTGTGGAATTAATGCTCCCTGTGTATTTAGACAACTTAAGTGGCTGGTTATGATGGTGAAGATGCACAGTGAATTAGGCAAAATGAAATATTCTTTGATGCTCATTGAGCAGCAGAGCAAAGAACGCTGCATGACCCATAACAAGTAGAGCTGAAGAGACGTTATTTGAACTAGCACGCATCTCTGATCTTGAGTATTTTATCTCTGATCTTGAGTATTTTTCTTTATGTTTGAGGTATCAGCAAAAAGGAAGTGGTACCCATTGTGGATTGCTTCCAACCAACATATTATATAGGCTGAAAATCTTTTTGTAATAAACAGCTCAATGTGATATGTTGGCAAAAGAGGAGACCCGAGAGTGAGTTCATATTAAAATTTAAAGCCTTGAAAAGCGGGGTGGGGAAATGGTTTGAAAAGAAGAGAACAGGAGTCACCATCAAGCCTACAGTAAAGACAATGAAAGAATTACCGTTGCCATTTCATCCTTTGTGTGTGGGGTGAAAATGGTAATTTATTTTTGTGAGATATCTGTGCAACAAAACCTGACAATTGGAAATCACTGAAGAGGTGGGTCGCTGTTTTTAATGAGTGCCTTCTGCATCACAGCTTCCGTGGAGAAACCAGAACCTACAGAGCCTCGTGGTGTGTCAGCAAATCTCAGTCTGTGCACATGCACTGCTTTTCTTTTCTTGATTTCTTTTACAAAGGAGCACTGCATAAACAAAGTTTGTGGTACAAATTAGAGCAAAGCTAAATTATATTTAAAATGTGAACTTGGGAATCTCTGTGCTGGATTTTGTGCAAAGTATTAATGCTCTGATTTTCTTCAAATTTCTAAGTGCCTCCTTCTAACCTTGTCACTTGAAGTTCCTTTGAGTCCCAGAAGCCATATGAGCTGAAGTGGGTGCTGGAAAGACAGCAGGCAGTACATGACAGGAACAGAGCAATTTCCCAAGCTGTGTTTTCTGAGGATTTGGGTGGAAGAAATGCGATTTTCAAAAGGGATGAAGTGTGTAAGGCGGGTTATGGGAGTCAGGGTGGTTTTTGTTAGAAGAACATTGCAGCCTGGTCCCTTTGTAGTTTTGTGTGCTTACAGGACACTGTGATGGTTGCCTGAAGTCTGGTCTGTAGCACACATGGGATGAAGAGGGAAGGAGGGGCCTTACTGGAAGTGAAATGATGAAGAAGTAATTTGTCACACCTTCCTTCTCCTACACTTCTCCCTCTAATAGCAGCAACCTCCCTTTACTTGCCTGGATTCAAATACAACCTGGCAGGTCACAACAAGGCTTGGACTACTGATTTTTTCACCTTTGTCAACAAGCACTTCATTCTGTGTCTCTCTTCCCTTCTCTCAGTGTTTTTAGGCAAGTTGGCAGTAATTGCTATTTCTATGTCCTTATTGAGTAAGATGTCTTTGGTCTTCTGGGAATGGTGTGAACTTGGTTCCCCTCCTCTGAGGCATATCCAGTTGAGTATTACATTCTTGTTACAGCTGGGAGCCCCGACTCACACCTGCTTGGAGTTGGCAGCATCAGAGTAAGTGGCTCCTCAGGGAAATGCTGCTCAGTGCCCGTGAGGGGAAAGTTTTGTCAAATGGCAAAATCAGCCCATGCTTGCAGGGAATGGCATTGAACTCTGACTGGTTTATTCTATCTTGTGTCTCATCAAGGTGGCACAGTTTTGTTCATGTTCTTCCTCAGACCATAAGCATCCACTATACATTTATTGCCAGAAGGTAGCACAGGACTGGCTTGAGTCTAGTCCAGCCCACTGCCTGATAGGTGAGTGAATGGCCCTGGGGAGGGAGTTGACACTGGTCCTCTTGGTAGACATGGGGAGAGTCTTGGCACACTCAGCTCTAGAAATCTCCTGAGCAAATCTAGAAACTTAGTCTTGAACTAATACAACCTTCCTTTTCTGGCTGCTGGACATTCTTCTGGGGGAAATAACAGCTTATTTTGTATCTTATGTTCTTGGTTAACCTGAGTGTTTAAGAACAGTTGTCTCTGTTAGGGCATTTTGAACAGCCTGATGGTCTGTAGCTTTCAAACAGCCTGATTGTCTGTGGGTTTCTCTCAGGACAGAAACCAGCTGACCCACTGGTCACACTGGTGTGGCTGATCCCACTTTGCTGGGATGTCTTCCATGGTGGAGGTGACAGCTCAGACTCTGATGTGTATTTTCATGCCAGTCTCAGTGGAGTTGTGTCAGATGTGACAAGCTGAGGCTTTGGGCTTGATTATGAATGACTGGGTGGTGCTGTGATTTCTTGCCCTTCTCCTGCTCTATTTTCCTGATTTGTGGAGGTACAGAGACTGACTGCCTTGCTGAGGCCAGGGCTTCAAAAAGTAAAACTCCTATCAATGCTGACAGAACCAAGAATTTTCTGCTCTGCCTAGCATTAATATTGCTTGGCAGAACTTGCTTGGAATTTTAGATGTATTTAATGCAGCTTAGCTTGTTTGGGGTGGAGATGTACAGACCCATATGAAAAAGGACCTAGGAATTCCCTATTTCAGCTGTAATTACTGAAGGCAGAAAAGCAAAGGAACTAATTTGCAAAGCTATACTTGAAAAACATTCTAGCATAACATCATCATTGCAATTATCTGTCAAAAGATTTAGTTCAATTACTTTTTTTAAGCTCTCTTGTCAAGATGGCCTTACTGGTTTCAGGATTGTGTTACTCCAAGGAGAGGTCAGGGAAGAATGAATGCTAATTCTGTCATTAACCACTGTCAGACAGCCTTCAGTGCATATTATTTCTTGAAAATGCCTTAGCATTGTTATTGTGAGGAATCAATAGTCATAAAGTGCCATAGAAATCAGGGAGGAAAAAAATTCCACTGCCCATTTATGGATTGTAATATGGTAAGGTGAGAGGAAGAGAACTTCACTTTTAAGTGGTAATTTTGAAATAATTGAATAGCAGCACAATTCCTATAATGTAAAAGATTACACAGGGTTACTTACATTTTCTTCACACAATGATAGGCCAGTAATAAAATTACAAGGGAAGAATATTTGATGTAATAAACTCAAATTAAACTGAATAAGAATTGGCGAACAGCAGGACATTGGAACCTCTTGCTGCATTGTCGTGTTGGGTAAATGTTCAGAGCTGGAGGGGTCTGGGCTCCTCCCAAAGGTGAGGGTGGGGAACCTCTGGGTGAGCTGGGCAGATGTGTTACAGCATTTATGGGAGGGTTCCATTTCATTGGCGTCACTTTTGGCTGCTAATGCTGGTAGTTTTGTGCATTTCTGTTCAGCTGAAACTGCTGTAAAATGTGTGCTGAATCTTTTGGTGCAAATAACTTCACGGTGATTTAGATGCCTGCCTGCTTGATCTGGTAATAAGGGTCCTGATCTAAAGTCTGCATCTTATACGGAGATGAATTCCTGGAGTTTAAATATATCAGGCCACTTAAAGGCCCGTGACTTCAAGCTAAGCATATATTTGAGGACTCTAGCTTATAATTAAGCATCTCTCTTTGAGAGAGATGGGCTTTGATGAATTCAGATTTGTTCTACCTGTTTTTAAGTGCAGAGAAAGAGCCGCAGTTTGCGCTTGCTGTCTTTTCTTGGATGGCCTGGTACTTGTAAAGAAAACAGAATTAGTTCCAGTAATATATAAAATTAAAAATTAAAATCCTAAACTACATTTCTCCTTTTTCAATGTATGTAATATAATGTTAGTAGTAAAATTCACAGGTGAGAATCCTGAAACCTACATTCATTGATTTCTGAATTTTGTTCACCAATCTTTACATCATTGTATAAGAGAAATTTCTGGAACAGCATTAATTCTAGGCAAGTGTAGGAGCTTTTACAAGGTCACCAGTGGAAAAGTAAGGTTGCTAAGAGAGATTGCATGAATAACCTACCCTGTGTCTTTTCCTGAATAATGTGATTTTTTTTTTTAAAGTGTTTGACCTGTTTGTATGAGACAAAGCTAATTATGACAATCAGGGTCTTCCTCTTAAATAACATACAAAAATCTGCCAGATTAGACCCATAGTACTTCAAATAAACTATTACATCTTGTATTTTTTTTTCTTTGAGAGCAAAATGATATTTTTGAGTTGTCATTTAAAAAAAACCCTTTTGTGTGATAGTAAAAGGTAAATCGTTCATACATGGTTTCTTTGAACCGTTCTGTTTTCCTATTCCTGCCTAAACATAACCCGAGCTGTTGTTACATTAAGCCATTGTCCTGTAATGGTTCTTGGAGAGATGTTTAACTGTAGCTGCTGCTTTGTTATAATGAAAAGCTGTGATTCAGACTTTGTACTATGTTTGCATTTCAGCTGTCACAGAAAGTGAAAGATGAAGCCTCTTGTTTTCTTGGTTCTTGTGATCTGTACTGTAGTCAGCATGAATTTGAAGCTCGTGTCAAAGAGAAATTCTGGTAAGTCACAGAAAATTATATTTACTTTTGGATCTGGACCTCATGCTCATGCAGTCAAGCATTTTAAATGGCTGCATTTTGTTTTGCATACATACGACTTGTTCTATTCTGCCAAAGAAAAGTCATAATTGCTATGGCTTGCTTAGTAAATGAAAGCCGTTTGAAAGTTTTGAAAGTGTCCTTATGTTTTTTTTTGTTGTTGTTGTTTGGGTTTTTTTGGGGGGGGGTGTTGTTAAAAAAAACTCAGAAAACGTTGATCAGGTTGGAACATCAACTGGAGGTATTGCAAAGGTAATAATTGCTTTGGCATTGTGGCATTGTTCTAACGTCCAGTCTTTTACTCATGCTAAGGGATTTTATATATGGATGTGGTCTGTGGTGAGTTTTAAGTCTCGATGATTTTTTTGTATGTTGAAAGGTCATCTTTGAAAATGCTGTGCTGGCCAGACATGTGATCATAGGGTTAACTGGGAAGAGCTCATAATCTGGTTATTCTGTCAGTGAAAGAGAGTGGAGTTGATTCATGTTTACATCTGCTTCTGAAACCTTCTAGTAGTAACAGAACCCTTCCAAGAAGCATTAGAATCTCTCCTTCCAGGGTGGGCAGTTCATCTGGATAATGGTTCATCTGTACTTGAGCCTGAAGTGGTGTCTGCTCTGCAGCTTTGCCCTCTCAAAGGAGTGACTTCATGAGACTGCTTGTATTTCTTAAGTGAGCTGTGAGTTGAGAAGGCACTGGGCAGACAAGTAGCTCAGCTGCAGGGCTACACAGTGGTGTCAGTCTGCTACAGCCAGCTGGGTGTGTAAGAGTAAATGTTGGACTTTTAAACTTTTGATGGCATGCTGTTTTTACACATTGTTTGTGTGCTACACTTACGTGTGTGAGGGCTTCCACTGATCCTGCTGTCCTCGAGGTCTCCAGTCTTTCCAACACTGCAGGTGCCAACAGAAATTACTGACTTCGGTTGGTGTGGCCTGTGTTGAGTTTAATCTTCTGCATTTCTTGAGAACAGAGAAGAAAATTATTGGGTCATATATTAAAAAGAATTACATGTCACATCCCAGGCTGAGAAGTGTTACTCTGGGAACTGACAGATGCAGGGCTGAATTCTTTCTGCTGGGCTGGAAAGTGTAAATGGAGTTGCTAAACTGAACTAGTCCTTTGGTGTGGTTATTGTGTCCAGAGCCCAGTTTGTGCTGTGAGAGCAGTCATGGATCTTGGACTTTGGCTGCAGTGCATCTTGGTCTAAACTCTGTGCTGTTCCTGTTCTTCAAAACTGCTATCACTGCCTAGATGGAAACTCTCTGTGAGATGCACAATCAGTGTAACTGAGCAGCCTCCATTCACTGGTGCCAGGCAACAGCACCTGGCTGCCAGCAAGGGCCCGTGCAGTTCTTTTTGCCAGGGGTGTACACAACTGTAGAAGTGACATGCTGGTTGGTGGTTGTAGCATCATCCAGCTGGTAGTTTATCTTCCATTTTATATATATATATATATATGCCCACATTTAAAATCTGCTTTCTGCTCTGGAGAATGTCTTGTGTTAATAGCAGCTGTTGACAGTGTCAATTTAGGTTCGGTACTGGTGGGAAAAATGCTTTCATATCTTAGACTGCCTCTTGCTAAATATAACCCAATAGTGAATAGGTGGTTCTTTTTAATTTCATTTGATTGTGCCAGTATGTGTTGAGAATAAGATGAAGAGGAAAAAATGCACATAAAGTAAAATTATGGTTTCTTTGTAAGTACCTAATCATGTAGTTGGCTTTCACCTTCAGTGCTCATTCTGGTTGTTGCATGGAGCTATTGATTTCTTTTTTTTTTTTTTTCTTTAGATTTGAAGGACTGTTGTTTGATTGCTTGGGGCTTCACTAAACGTTGTGTGTTGTGAAGAGAGAGATGCTCCAGTGTCTTCTGAGCTTTACCTGTTTGTATAGTTTTAGTGGAAGATCAGGGTCAGTGGGTGGATGCAGACAAGCAAATGCACAAAGAAACAATGTCACTATATTTTCCATAGGGTGACGGTAGCTGTAACATGCTGGACCTGTAGTTCAGAGTTTTGTTTGTTTTGCTTTGTTTTTTTTTTTCACGTGTGTCGGAGAGTGGAAAGGGGAAGTTAATGTAATGGTTCTTTGTGGGCAGCTGCACTGCAAGGTAAACTGCAGGATGTCTGGAAGCAGGAATAGTGTTTTAGCTGTAGATTAGAGCTGAGGTGGGTGAAGGGCCCAAAGGATGCTCTGTGGACAGGATCTCTGCAGCAGTGTCTGGATGGGTATTGTAGTCTTGGGTCTTGCTGGCTGTCTGTATGGGGCTGTCTGTGCTGGTGAGCATCCTTAAAAAGGGAAGGGAAATTGTGCAGACAGTTATGTAGAGCAGTGTGAAGCAGTGCATGGAAGGTGCTGACACTGATGATAAAGACAGATTTGGGCTACTAGAACAATAAACTAGGAAAATTGGTGTCTTTGCTGACTTGGGAAGACTGGCATTTTTTCTAAGCAATGCATAGAATTATTGCATGAATGGCCAGAAATTGTGATTAGTGTCAAGTACAAGAGCAATTACGAAGTTGACTGGCATGTGTGTAATATCACATAATGGAATGTATCTTCTTTAAGGGGTAGGGAGGATCTAAAGAGAGCTGACTTGAAGAGGAGCAAGGAGAAGGTGACGTGGTGTTGTCAGGTAATACAAAGGCATCACTCAACCAAGGCAGTCAAAAGGGGGGCAGAAGGTCCAGGAGGGCTTTATAGGTGAAACTGGAGTTGACTTGGAGACAAAAGGTTTGGCTTGGAAAGCATCTTCAGAGGCTGGTGCAGAAATTCTCCTTCAAGGTCAAGGAATGGACACCCAAGGGGAGAAAGCTGAGAATGAGAACTCCAGGCAGCAAGTGCAGACAGTACACAGGGGCTGGACAACAGGCAAGAGTCATTAAAGAGAGGTCAGGGGTGGAGGATCTAAGGTGTTAAACAGAAGGTGATGAAATGGTGCTCCAGCTGCAAGCATAGAACTGTAGTTTGCTGAAGAAACAATCCTCATGGAAGGGAATAGAAAAACAGAACTGAAAGATTTTTCTCATGTCCTTTACTTGCCCTTTGTTACAGATTTAGGTGTCCATATTTCCCATTTGGAAAAGAGAAGCAGGGATGCATATGAAGCCTGCAAATAGATTTAGAGGCTTTAGATTTAGATTTTTGCAAGGCTGCAAAAATGACACAAAAACTTGTAGCAAGATAAATTTGTTTGGCTGCTTCTCACTTGAGATGTGGTGCCAATATAATTAAAATGGGTGAGCTAATTTAATTATGCTCATCAGATTCTTCTTTACAGGCAGCAGCTTTCCAATGCTCCAGAAGAAATCTGTCTTGTCTACAGAGTAACGATTGCTGTTTGTGGTGGGGACAGAATAGTTTGCCTCAAGCATCTGTGTGAGTGTAATGTTGACTGAAGTTTCACAGGCATTTCTTAATATTAAGAAGCATTTTTGAAAACTGCAGGTCATCCTTTTTGCCTGTTTAAGAAGTAAAAGTGAGCAAACAGCTAATGTGGGGACTGCAGCTTTAGCAATATCCTAGAAAGGGTATTTTACAGGTAGAGGTTATACAAATGAATTGAAAATGTGGGAGTTGCTGGTAGGTGATTTCCTTTTAATTGGATTAAGTGACTTCTTTTCCCAAAGCCTTTGTATATATAGTGCCTTGAACAAATGTAGCAGGGAATATAATACCAATTAAAAACTATTGCATTTTTTAAGCAAAATATTTTTCAGATTATAGATTGTTTGACTTACTAGACATAATTCCATTAGTGAATAGTTGATGCCATTTATTGTTGCTCTGTTATTTGCTGAGCTGAAATACCCTTACTGACTCCAACATCTGGGCATGCCAGCCTTGTGTGGAGGAGCAGTGGCAGACACCCTCAAGGTTTCTGTGAGGCTGCTGGTTGCATTTAGGACATTTAGGAGCCTTTCTGCAGGTTAACATGGCTTAATTGGCTTAGGCTTGGCACGGGGAACAGACACATGGATTTCCTTCTTGCTTGCTCCAAAGAAGATCATTTATTGTAACAAACCAAGCATTTTTATGTTCTAAACTTAACCAAAATGAGCATGCACTGGCTGCCTGGCACTGTGGTGTCCCTGTCCATGTGTCCCTTTGTCCCTTTACCCACAGCTCTGATCACACAGTGTCCCTGTCCGTGTGTCCCTTTGTCCCTTTACCCACAGCTCTCTGGTCACACAGTGTCCCTGTCCGTGTGTCCCTTTGTCCCTTTACCCACAGCTCTGATCACACAGTGTCCCTGTCCGTGTGTCCCTTTGTCCCTTTACCCACAGCTCTCTGGTCACGCTGTGTCTGTGTCTGAGCCCGTCACTGCCTCACACACGAGGTAACCACACACCAGCCATAGAATCGGTGCTCTGGTCATAGAACCCATCTTTCACCTCCCTGTCAGCTGAACCTTTCCCAGAGTGCTCTTTGGAGAGCAAGGATGAACAGAATTCAGCAGGATTTATGTCCCACAGCACGAGTATGTCCCCGAAGCTACAGTCATGTCTTCTCCTCTCCTCTGTCAGATGGATTTGCTGTGGGATTCCAGCCTTCCTTCTCCTCCTCGTTATCTTGGGAGCATCCAAAAGGCATTCATGCCATAGGAGCAGGTCTGTCTCTGATCCTCCACCCACCTTGTCACTCTCCTCCTGCATCTGACTTTAGCACCAGTGGCTTGGGAGAGAGAGGGCTTGACTTGGCACTGGGCCTTGCTGTGTATGGACATAGCCAAACTGTCTTAAATTCTCATTGATATTGCAGTGCCTTTTAACACATTAATTTAAAACCTATTGGCTTGATATTTTGTGCCTTTTAAATACCATGCAGCTGACTTACTGTGGTCTGCTATAGATGTGTCAAGACCTTCCCTTTCCTGCAGTTGTCACTGCTTGTGCCTACGATTTCCGTCTGCTCCCTTCTGTGAAGATCAGTCTTCCTGTGTTGCCTGACC